TTTCGAAAACATATTCTAACTAAAGATTTACATGTGTTTCATGTGCCCTAAGCCTTTCGTGTTTTCGGGTAAAAAGTTATTTGCATTTGCCGAGAACTTTTTTAACTCGCCGAAAGGTACTCGTAGCTATGGGTACTAAAACTACTTGCATGTAAATAAATGCACATGAATTAATTTTTATCCTTTAGGCATTGAAATGTGTAGAGCGAACCAAAAGCTGCTTTTTAGTGGTTTTATATTAAGTTCTGAAAATAATTTTATCTGCATACAAGCATATTAGGGTGCCCAACAAAAAAAAATTTTTTGGAAATTTCAAGAAATATGATTGCCTATTTTTATAGATTTTTTAGAAATAATTTAGGTCTCGCGACTTGTCATTTATAGACCTTTAAAATAATGTATTATAATCTATTGTCAGACTTTAATTGTTGGAATTTTTCATCGGGTTAATAAAAAAAAAACATTTTTTCTTAATTTTTTTTTAATTTCTACAATTTAAAAATATGTAGTACTACCTTAAATTAAATCTACTTTCAAATAAATTGATACCTCATTTTTTGCAATCACACAAATATTGTCGAAGTTAGGTATTTGTATTTGTGTATTGGCTAAGGAATTCATCAATATTTATTCAAAACTGATACAAAAAGGAAGGAAATTAGGGGGTAGGGTCTCGAAATTAAAAAAATATATATATTTTTGATGGGCACCCTAATGCATATGTATGGAGTATATGTACTCGATACTATATAGTAGTTGCATACGTATTTTGTGTGGCGCGAAAGCGAGAGTCATGGCACATGAGTGGAACATAAAGCCACATTTTTCGTGATATACAGTGACTCAAACAAATGACCACGTGTTGTTTTTTTTTAATTTTCGTAATATTTTTCCAGCATTCTTTTTTTGTTATGTTTATATAAAAATATCGTCTAAGCTTTAACCACAACCGTGTAAATCACAGTTGCACACTTAATACAAAATTTAGGAAAATTCAATTATAGAAATCGGTTAACGTGGTCCTAAGTTATGCGGTATCATACATATAAAAAAAAATATTCCGGCGAATTGATAACCTTCCTCCTTTTTGTGAAGTCGGTTAAAAAAAGTATTTCTGATCACAACTGAGTAACCACGAAAGCAAGAGGTCGTCGTATTGGAAAAATTTTCTAAAGAAGGTTTGGTGCAGGACGTTAAGATATCCTTGCACTGCTAGAGCTTTGGGCCTATAGAGCTTCGATAGGAAAGATTGTTTCCAATAAAAAGTTTAACACTTTTAAATGGACTACTACCTACTCGGTATTTCTTCTTCCTTTATATAGTCCTGAAAGAGTAAAGAATATTCAGTATATTTACTATATATATATATATATAACTCTGGGCTGCCTTTGTGAAAAAAATCTTTTTTCAAAACATTGAAATGTTATCATGAAAAGACAAAAATTTTTGAGCTGGCAGAACCAAGGGGTAAACTAAAATGCTAAATCTTGCTCTGAGTTGGACTTATACAATTGGAACGCTCCCAAGTGCTACTGGTTATGCTGGTCGTTACGGGTCCTTCGGCTTATATAAAAGTAATCCAGCAGAATGGACTTTCCGGCAATGATAACTGTCGTATCCTTCGCTCTCCAGAGGGCTCTCTTAGTCGGCAGTGTCTTCATTCGTATTTTTTCGACTGTCTGCCAAACATTTGTTCGACGGAAATCTGAGAAGTACAATGCTCTTATGGGCAATGTTATTGTTTTTGTTTCCACGTGGATGGTCGAAGTCAATCAGCGCACAGCCACAGCATGCTGCAGCAGCTTAATCCAACTTGATCAAGGCGTGATGAAGCACTCTATCAAATTCACCTTAATAAATACATCGAAATAAAACTACCGTTTTGGCTTCTTTCAGAATACTCCTCCACTACAAACAACAAACACGCTTAAGCAACAACAAAAGGCCCGCTCGAACAAAATCACACCCCTTTGAATGAAAAATTTAAACTTTGCAATCGAACAGTTCATAAAGTACCAAAGTCACACAACAACAATACCAAATTGAACACTAGCCAGCAAGAGGCGAGAACCTCAAATATTGCAGGGGACTCGTTCATACATTTTCGCAAGCGGAAAGGGCAATTGAAACCACTTGCGCATTTTGCCGCTAAATTTTTTTTCAATAGCCCTTATATATAAATAAGATTAGTTTTCGTTTTGTTAGGGTCGGTTGTTGTTGTTGTTGTTGTTATAGCAATAAAGGGCGCCACTATGTAAACCGGAAAACAGCAATTAATTGTTGCAATGGCGCACAACAACGGCAACAAAGGGCCAATGTCAATTGAAAAGACAAACGAGCAGAAAAGTAGAAATTGTTGCAAGCAACATAAAGCACGGCTACCAAAGCAATAATAATAACAAATAAAATCGGCGCTCATAAATATAATAAATATATTATATACATATGTATGTATGTATGTATTTATGTAAAAATATGTAGATATGTGTGTATGGTCTGCTAGTGTGAATGTGCGTTAATCGAGTGAAGCGCAATGAAAGCACACCGCGCGGAAAAAATGCCATTTTATTGCGCTTTTCTGTGTGTTTGAAGCTGTTCTTGTCGCAGTCAATTTTATCGTCCTATTCTCGCCTTTGCCTTTTGCACATTTTGCTCGATGGAAAAAGTGCAGCAGCGCGTGGAAAAACAGCGACTCATTGTGTTTGTGTTGTTGCTATTTTTCCGCTGTGATTTTCAATTGAGCTGTAAAATGCAGTTTGCGGCTATTGTTGTTGTTTTTGCTTTTACTTTTGTTATTAGCTGCCACCGTTGCTGCGGCAGTTAGTTGGCTTGCCATGGCTCGATGGTCGTCAATGTTTATTGCTGTTAACGCGCGAGCAACAGCAGCAGCCGCAGCAGCAATTGCTGTGCATACATATGTACATATGTATGTATGTATCTACTACGTTGCTATTTATTTTTATTTTCACATTTATTTATTTTTTTTGCTACTGTCGTTGTTATTTTTGTAGTGACTGCTATTGTGACGAAAACGAAATTGCCAACAGTTTTTCCGAAACACTGGCGATTTTATTGCTGCAACCAATTCTACTGCTGATGCCGCTGCTTTATTGTTTTGTTTACCATTAGCAAACAAATAACAATTTTCAGTTTGCCTTCGGTCAATTTTTATAAATTCACTCGTGAAAAGTCTGCGCTTTAAGGGTGCATGGTTTTTGTTGTTGGGTTTCTACGCTTCAACAACAAAAGCAGCAACCATCGATATTTGGCCATTGTCAGTAGTACTGATGTGCAAGTATTTGTTGCAGTTGCTCCTTTTGTGGCTCTTTAAATAAAGTGCTTTAGTAAACAAGAAATCAACCCGTTAACAACATTTTTTTGAAAGCTGAAATGCTGAAAATAAATTAAAATGTGAAATAATTCCTTTTTTTTTGTGTTTTCTTTTCTTTTTTTTGTGATAGCATCTCCCTGTCATCCACCAAAGCTTTAATAGAAATGATGATTTGTAGAAAAATGTAGATCTTATCAAGTGTACAGCAAATAATGCAAATCTATTCAAGCGATTGATTTCCACAGGCTATTTTAAACGGACTTTTCATCTACTTAGTTTTTATAAGAACATTTGGGCACATAGTTTCGTAAAAAAAAATTATGTCATGTCTCCGACTCGCTTACAATTTTCATGTTCTTCTTCAAATCGTTATAGCTCGGGTCTATTATCTGAACGTCGCTTTAAAGTTAGAGAAAGGGGCTTAATATTTCTAAATATAAGATGTCCATGATTGTCCTAAGGCTATCTTAGCTATTAAAGTTGAACTTTTTGAAGTAGATTTACGTAGTGAACACCAGTAAATTGCGGATTTAAAATTAAACCAACGTAATCACTCACTGTTTAATTCTCTATAAAAAACATGGTTCCAAAAAATGGGCTTTTTCAAGAACTATTTTTAAAATATTTTTTTTTTATGGCGAGATGTTTTATTTTGTGAGAGTCAACAATTTTTTGTAACTTATTTTCGAAAGCTTAGGATGAGATATATTTAGCAAAGGTGTTAAAAAACATTTTTATGCAAGACACAAAAATTTTATTGCAGATTCAGATAGAATATTCAAAGCATTTGTTATTCACACTTAATGGGATTCATCAATATTTACAAAATTGGTTCGTTAATAAACCAGAACGACCATACAAATATGATTTTTTTATAGACAGGCCATTCATCGAGAATCAAGCAACACCTTCGGCAACTCCCATTGATTTCCATAATCTCATTGAATTCCATAATCATCATTCCATAAATATCTGAAGCAACACGCAATCGATGGGCTGATATAGACAAGAGTTTAGTAAGTCGCTACAACAAAAACAGCAGTGAACGATTTTTGTTCGGGTTGACTTTTATTTTTTTTTTAGTAATTTTCTGCAGTGCCAAAAGAGATGCTGGGATACATGTTCTATGGTCCTCACCGTTTGCCTTGAAAAACAATTATAATACCAACTCATTGAAGAAAACGAGAAGTGCTGTTCCAACAATAAAACTGCACAATTGCTCCATAGATATTTAGGTGTAGAAAAGTTTATAATTTTTAAATGAAAAGTAAAATAAAAAAGTCATTCGTTCGGTTTAGACTATTTTTTTTTAGAGTGTAGAATTTTGCATTGCCTTGCAT